GTAAGAAAAATGGATTAATGGTGATGGTAAGAATAATGAAATGATATGTATATGTGAATATATGTATATGAGAAGACATAAAAGTAAGATATAAGCAATGTAACAAGACGTGTGAAATGGCATGAAAAGTTGATATAAGCTATGCAAAAGTGATTTACGTGACTATATGTATATTTGATCCACGTTATGTGAATATTTGAGAATAAAATAAGAGAAAAAGGAAATGTGATATGTGAAAGTGAACCATATATATATATATATATATACGAATATGAGAAATAATATAAGCTATGTGACATGATCTATATGATTACATGAATATGCAATATGTAATACATGTTATATGATATAAGATAGATGTTTACACATACATGTGGTATGTGATAGAAGAGAAGAAATATGTGATTACATGAAATGTGATAAAGAGCTGTGTGAAAGAATGATGTGATATGAATGTGATATGTGAACATAAGTGACTAGCTGACATGAGCTATGTGACTATATGAAAGCAAGAACATGTGACATGAAATACATGATAAGAAGATATGATACTCTGTAAGGGTATTACATGATATGAAATAAAAGAGTTATTAGTTATATGCATATGAAATATATGTTTACACATACATGTGGTATGTGACATAATAGAAGGAACATGCCATTATAAGAGAAATGATATGAATACAAAAATGTTATAAATGATAATGCCAATGTTATGTGATATGAGAGCTAGTGGTATAGTTGGCATGCCAAGAGTCGAGGAATTACCTATGTTCTACGGAACATATAGACAGAATTACCTATGTTCTACGGAACATATGGACAGAATTACTTATGTTTCGGGACATATGGGCATAATTACATATTTCTTTTGAGACATATGGACAGTATACTATGTTCTAAGGAACATATGGACAGTTTACCTAGGTTCTACGGGACCTATGGACAATTGCTGAGATTCTTTATGACCTCTGGATAGGTTTTTCGGGACATTTATACGAGCTGTGGTGACAGCATAGTGGCGCACAACCTAAATCTACTCACATACCTTAAGTTCACAAAAGTATACATGGGATTTAAAGATAATAAATTAATTGATGTGATACTATGTGTGCTCTGTTATGAAATGATGTATATGCTTATATGATAAAAAGAAATTAGTGATAGTAATATAAGTACCGATAAGTATGTTAATAATATATGTATATGTGTGAATTGATTATATGAAAGGATACACGATATACAGAAATGATAAGTACAAGATCATATGATAAATGGGTTAATGATTATGATAGAGATCATGATAATGATGGTATATGTGCATGTATACATTTTGTTATATGAAATGTTTTATGGTTTCCATTACTTGTTTATATGCCTCACTAAGTCTATGACTTAGCGTGTGATTGTTTCACGCCTAGGTTTAGAAAGCGAAAAGAGAAGTAAAGAGGAACAAGACATGTCAGTTCTCCTTACCGAAGATCAGATCAGGAATGTAGTTGAATTACATGTATTTGGTTATATAGAATTTAGTTGGCATGTAATATAAAAGACTGGAATCCGATATACTTTGAACAAGTTTTGTAATGTTTAAAAGTATTTTTGTAAATGGTAAATGTATAGAAATGAACGTTTTAAATCCTATGAGTTTTATGTATGTTTTATAGAAGTATTGTAGCAGTACTGTAGCAGGGGAATCGGCACCCTGTAGCAGGGAATCGGTTCCCTGTTTGAAATCTGGAAAAATTAGCATTTGGTACTGTAGCAGGGTACATGTTCACGGTACTGTTCATACCGTATTTTACTATTCATAAATACGTTTTTGCCTCAAAATTTTATAACAAACACAATTCAATAATATATGATCGTATTTTCTTAAAATGAGTTCAAATGTTTTGATATTTTGTAAGAATATCGTTTTTAAAAGTTAATGTGACATCTCCGACTCGTATCCGGGTACGGGTTGGGGTGTTACAGGTTCTTAGCGAAAGATTTTGTTTGATATTATAAAAAAAATTAAAATTTAATCTTCCCATTTTAATTTGACATAATATTTTGAGTAAATTACAAATTTCATCACTAAATTTTACTCTCTCTTTTTTTGCTCGATGAACTTTAAAAGTTTTTGATTTCCTCACTGAACTTAATGCATTAGATTTTTTGTCACTCAGCCGTTACATAATTAAAGAAGTTAAAATGGTGTCATTTTTTTAACCAAAATGACGTCATTTTGCATGTATATAACAACCCATTTATAAAGTCGTTAATGTGAAAATAACTGAGTGAAAAAAAAAGTCCAACGTATTAAGGTCAGTGAGAAAATTAAAAACTTTTAAAGTACAATGAGTGAAATGTAAAGTTATGGTGTTAAATTTGTAATTTACCCTAATATTTTTTTTGGGTTTAAGGATACTTCAAGGTTTAAACTTAAAAAAGTCATTATCTTAATTTTTTTTCGTATCTAATTAAATCTCCGAGTTAAAAAATTGTATATCGTATTAAGAAATTGAATTAATTAAGATATTTGACCAAATTTAATCATTAATCCTTAATAGAATTCTTTTTATAAGATATTATAGTCACGTGAGACTATAATTTTATCACATTGTATTTTTTAAATTTTTATTAAAGAAGAAATCTTAAAAGATAGTAATATTTTAAACAATTAAAAATGAAAAAATTTAAAATATAAAAATCTATTTTATTTTTTATAATTTATAAATATATTTTTAGACTTTTTCAAATAAAATTTTTCTAGAAGTGTACATGACAATGCCGTGATATGACATATATAATCAACTGATAAGAAACCATCAAACTTAATAGTCAATATTAGTCAAATGGATGGATTAATAAAATTTTAGAGTAAATGAAAAAAAAATCTATTTTATAAAGCTATTAGTGGATTTAAACCGATAACGACATTAATTGTAATCAAAGGGTGCAAAATATCGAGGACATCTTATAGCCATGATACTGTTTTGAAAAAAAACGTGATTGTGAGTTAAGGAAGATGTTTGAAGAATGGTAATGAAGGCCTTGTCGAGGAAATATCCTTGTTTTGGATATTTCAATATCTATTGGTATAATATCTAGGGTTGTGCAAATTCGGCTACTCGGGTTTTTGGGTATACGATTATCGGATACTTGCATCATCCATGTCAATGATTTTCGGCTCGTTTCTCAACGCGGATGTTGCGATTATCTGGTAATCGGGTACCCGGCTTTTGCGGGTATCCATTTTTTTCAAATTATTAATTAAAAATATATATATACACAAATTTAAATGTTCGAAACTTCGAATTACATACTCCAACATTCGAACATAAAATTTAAAAGTTTGAAATACAAAATTTATTAATATATATATATAAATAATCCTATATATATATATATATATATTAGAAAAAACTAACCGGGTACCCGAAAAACTTCAATTTTGTGACCCGGATCCGACCACGTCGGATAATTTTTAAAAAAAAAATTACCCGGTTTTTTAGGTCTGGGTCGGTGGATCGGGTGGACCGAGTCGGATAGTTTTGCACACCCTTAATCATATATAGTAAGTTTATTTAGCTTTTCAAGAGGAAATAATATGCTCCGGAGCCTCCACCATCCTCAATCACCTTGAGCTAGCATATAAACCACCATGAGCTAGTATATAAACCAGTAAACCACCATGATATAAGCAACATTCTCCTAGACTTATGTGGGGCCTAGGCGTGTTGATATTGAGATCAAATGGATTTACAATATCTCTCTAGGAGAAATACCTAAGGATGATTTAGAGCCAATAGACCCTATATCACACTTTAAGTTAAAAAAAAATAAGGTTGCACTCTAGCATTTGTAATGTCTTGCTGATCTTCTATCCAATAATACTTGTGGCTTTGAGATTATATTGTGACTTATGACTTTTGTAACATATGATGAAACGTGAGCATTTCGTGCCAATGCCGATTCGTTTATGGTTTTACTGAAGTTGTTAAAACTGTTTTTGTTTTCAGGCATGGGATCTCTGGACAAGCGATAAGCCACTAAAGTTGATTAACGCTGACCTGCAAGATTAAGTATTGTCCAAATGCAGCTAATAGATACATCAATACTGAGCTCCTTTGTGTCGAGGAACGAGCAGCCGACAGGCCGACCATGTTGGATATCGTGATGATGTTGAACATCGAACTCACCCTCTTACCTTCTCCGGTGCGACCGGCTTTCTCGAATGTCCGAAGTGGACTAGACTTGAGTCAGAGGAACCCTCAGATCTCTCAGAATAAACTTACAATGTCGGCGGCTGTCCCTCGATGAAAAACTTGCTTATTTATTGGGTAAACTACATCACTAGTCACCAGCATATCATTTCTTTCCTATTTTGGTCATTCTTTTCAAAAGTGTTACTAACCCCTAGAGAATATATATAACAAGCGGGCCTTATTTAATTTTTTTTTGAAATATTGAGATTGAAATTATTTAAAAAATTAAAGATAAAAAAGAAAAATCAATGAAACATTGAAAACCAATTTTACTATTATGCTTGGAAAATATAAAGAATGAAAGGTCTTATTTGAATTTTTTTTAAAAAAATATTAAGGTTAAAATTATAAAAAAGTAAGGGTGAAATTGAAAATTCAATAAAATATTAAGAATTGATTTTGTTATTATGCCTTGAGAATAAAAGAATAACTTTAATATAAGTATGGGTGAAAACTTAGTAAGGTTGGCTTAGCTCAGTGGCTGGACCTCTAGATCTCCGTCTTATTGTATTTTTCTTTATATATAATTTGTTTCCACGTTTAGAAATTTTTAGTATTGTTTTTACTTGTAAGTATTTATAACAACTTCTATATCTTAGAGAGCAAGAGAATAATTAATCAATTCAACTCCGATAGCCCACTAGAGTATTTATTTGTTCATCATAAGCAATTAGCCGATGAATAAGATTCGGAAGTAAGCATTTGAACTGAGGAGACAACACAATGGGATTCAAGTGTTGCATGAATTATAATCCGTAGTCTCGAATATTGGCGAAGATATAGAAGCCCTTGTGCGATCCCCTCAATTACTCGAACTCTTGTTCCCCAGTCTAGTAGTCCTTGATTGTTTGAACCTGCCACAAATTTGCAAAAACAAATTGTTGCATAACAAAAGCAAATCTTGGGGAGAAAAGGGAAGGTTTAAGCATTCATAAATCACAAACCAAAAAGAAATGAATCCAAGCTTTTGTTAGGCATGAACTCATAGATCAGTATCTTTTCTCCTTGTTCTAAACAGCAACCTAATAGCCTAACAAGGTTTCGATGTTGAAGTTTTGCTATAAGCGTCTCGTTTTTTAACTCTTCGAGCCCTTGTGTGGATCATCTGGAGAGCCTTTTCACTGCTACTTCTTGTCCATTTAATAGTTTTCCCTGCAATCAAAACCATCCGAAAACTTGAGCTTGATTTCTGGTAATAGTCTTAAAAGATTATAGACTTCATACCATATAAACAGGACCAAATCCCCCTTCTCCCAACTTATTCTCCAAGGAGAAGTTTTCAGTAGCTTCCGATACACTAGCAAAATTAAACAATGGAAACGCGGTGTCCTTCCTCGTAAGTTTCCCGGGGTCGTCAGTATCTGAAAATTCTCTGCTACTAGTGGTGATGCTCATCTTCCCTGTTTTTGAAGACAGAGGTCAGCATATGTAAGTACATCCATTCGCATATCGAGCAAGGTAGCAGATCAATTCACAAAGACTAATACGAAACACAGTACCTTTGTCTTTGAACATATTCCTCTGAAAAACAATGAAGGACGCAGGAAGAAGCACCAATAGAACAATGGGGATTGCAATTTTCCATATATACTTATTGGCTCCTAAAGATCGAATTCAAGACATTAAAAATTCCGAAACAATTTAATAGCCAAGATAGTTAGAAGTTTTTAAAAGAAACTACCTCTTCCACTGTCAAATTCGGAAGCTGCTAGTCTGATAAAGATTGTACTTCCACTAGTATCCTTTGCTGAAAGTTGTTGAAGATCAACAAGGTCGCCAAACCATCTTAAGCAATGGCCACTTTTGCTATGTGCATATGCACTGCAACTACAGTTATTCAAGCAAGCTTCTTCGCATGTTTTAGCATCAGAGGTCGATAATTGAGGACCCAATGGAAAAGGATAGGATGAACTGATTTAACTGAGTTGAATTTAGAGGATACCTCAAGCTATTCATCTTGATGAATCTGTCTATTATCTCCATTCTTACATGTTAGGGGTGTTCTCCTCGTACACTCTCCGTATTGGCCTTGTATTATCCGCTTCCCTGATGGGTAAAAGCCTCGCAAGCACAGGCAACTGTCACTGCTGCAGCTGATATTTTTAATTATCAAACAAAATATTTGACATAATTTTTTAAATAGTTTTCCAAATCATCGAAAACAATATTATATTATAATTTTTTTTAAATATGAAAATTTAGAAGGTTATTTTTTTATGATTATAGATCAAATTAATAAAATAAACTGATAAAATACAATAAACATTAAGTTTTTTTTATAAATTTTTAATACGATTGATATTAGCCAAAGACGGCATCGTTCGGTACAATTGAAGCAAGTACATTCGGGACATTCATAATTAAAAGAGTTAATTGTATCATATGTCTCTAAACTATGATGTTTATTATAAATTAATTTTTATACTTTTGAATATTCTAATTTCGTCCTCAAACTCATATACTCGTTCTAAATTAGTCCATAAAATTTTGAACATTATAATTCATTCTCAAACTATGACTTCATTCTAAATTAGTCCGCAAACTTTTAAATATTTCAATTTCATCCCCAAATTCATCCAAATATATTTCTAATCACAGTTTAACCTAAACTTTATTTTTTTTCAAACATATAATAAGATAGCATGGTCCAATGATTTTGTTAACATGGAATGTGATTAGTGTATACATATAATTTGGGATGAAATTGAACTGCTGAAAAAGTTTGGAAACCAATTTAGAAAAATGGTCATAGTTTAGGAATGAAATTGGAACATTTAGAAGTTTAGGGACCAATTTAGAAAGAGGATCATAGTTTGGGAGCCTTTCGTGCCAATGCGTATTCATTTATGGTTTTACTGAAGTTGTTAAACCTGTTTTTGTTTTCAGGCATGGGATCCCTGGACAAGCGATAAGCCACTGGAGTTGATGAACACTGACATGCACTGCAAGATAAGTATTGTCCAAATGCAGCCATTAGATACATCAATACTGCACTCCTTCGTGTCGAGGAACGAGTAGCCGACCACGTTGGATGTTGTCATGATGTTGAACAACGAATTCATCATCTTACCTTCTCCGGTGCGTCTGGCTTTCCCGAATGTCCGAAGTGGACAAGATTTAAGTCAGAGGAAAACAGCGATCTCTCAGAATAAACTTACAATATCGGTGGCTGTCCCTCGATGAAACTTTGAAGTTGACTATTTATTGGGTAAACTAAGTCATTAGTCACCAACGTGTTACTTCTCTCCTATTTTAGTCACAAAATCACTTTTTTTTGTAAAAGTATTATTAACATCACCCTTTCTCCATAATTTTGTAACTGACCATTAAAAATTTAACGACAATATTGATATAATATTTTTTATTATTTTTTTTAAATTTCCACAATATTTTCTCTCTTTTCATCAAGAATCGTGTGTCATTTTCTAATATTATTTTTATTTGGTCAATACGATGGTGATACGGGATACAATTTAAATTTTGTTTACTTTTATTTGATTAATACAATGGTGACACGAGTTTTACAAAATGGTTGAATCGTGGATCTTGTTGGGAAATAATGGACTTTTTGGAACTTTGAAGCATATTATTTATTTGTTGATTTGAATGTTGTAATAATAGATTTATGATTTTACATTATAATTTATTAGACTTTTAAAACAGTTCATGATATGTCTAAAATGATTGAGTAATGAATGAGAATTAAAGATAAATTGACTTTAAAAGTAAACTAAATGCGAATATATTTAATTTTAATATTTATTCTTTTATTAAATCTCCGAAAAATAATATTAAAAGGATCTTTACTATTGAAAATAAATTTATTAAAATTTAATAACAATATATTATTAAAATTTTGAAAATAAATTTATTATTGATACTATATCATCATTTTATTACTAGAAGTACATTATACACAAATACTACTCTTAATTAGATTTGTTAATAATGAAATAACCCAAATAAATCCTAAAATCATCTTTACTTTTTAAATTAATCCAAGTTAAACAAAAAGAAAGATATCATTACTGTACTAATTTAAAAAAAGGATCTTTATTCTATTCTCATTTTTAACTAATATCTTTCATAAAAGTTAATAAAATATATTTAAGGCTGATGGAATTAAGATATAAAATACAATATGATGTCATCCTAAAAAACCTACAATATGACATTTTTTAAAGTAATTTTAAGATTGAATTTAATATCGTTTCTCTGGTTAGTGAGTATTTGATTATGCTGTTGATCTAACTTAATTTGGACTTTAGTTATGTCATATTGATAGGTGTTTGCAGTCAGTTCATATATGTTATGTTTAAGTTGTGATAAATTTAATTGTTAATGTTTTATTATTATGTAAGTGTCAAAAATATTGTTCTTCTCTATTGATAATAATAAACGTTTGTATCTTAATTTTTTTAAAATTAATTAAATTTTCTATCTTATCATATATAATCTTTAGTTATGTCATGATGTGAGTTTTTTTTTTTGAAATAATGTTGCATTTTACATTATTTGTTCAAATATGGTAAATACTATAGTGGGAATCGAAATTGCATTGTGATCTCTACGACTCGTGGGAGTCGCATTGCACTTCCTACGACTTGTCAATCTTTTAACTTTTGTATTTGTTGATGTGAGCTTGTTATCTCTACAATTCTTGTTCTTTTCTTAACTCTTATCCTACCAACTAGGGATGGCAGTATAACCCGAACCCGACGGAGAAATTCGAAACCCGTTCAAGTTCGGGTCAGGTCGGGTTGAATGATATCGGGTCGGGTTTGAGTTCGGGGATTTTTTTATGGTCGGATTCGAGTTCGGGGCAAGGTATCCCCGCCCCGACCCACCCCGATTATATATATATATAATATTTTATATTTTTTATATTAATTATATATAAAATATTTTCGGGTTTGGGTTTAGGTTCGGGTATAATATTTCGGGTCGGGTTTGAGGACGGGGCAAAAAAATCCCCGACGGGGTGCCCCGATAAAAAACCCGTCGGGGATCGGGTCGGGGACGGGAATTTATTTCGGGTTCGGGGATGGGGCGAGCAAAACCCGACCCGTTGCCATTCCTACTACCAACTCCACCGCTCTCTTTTCCTGTAAATTTAATTTTCTAATTTTTAACTTATTTTTTGAAAAAAAAAAGTCATTAAATTTTTATGGGAGTCGCATTGTGATTAAGAGTTGAGGGAGGTGTGTTACATTTTGGCTTCTCTCTTATTCAAGCTTGATGGTGTCTCATAATAATTCATACATCTCTCATAATTAATGTAGCAAATATCTCATTCAAACAAATAATTTAAAAATCGCATTATATATTTTATAATTTTTTCATTCACATTATTAAAAAAATTCTCCATGAGTAAATTACATTTTAATATATATTAAACTATTTAATATTTTACATGAAATTTATATTAATGTTTACCATTTTTGTTTTGTTTTTTCTACTTTACCTTCCGATAAAAGCTCCTCAACGTGACCACTCACTTGGAAAAGCACAAAAACATGATTGATAGCATTTTTACATACTTTATCCCAATAATTCTTTCCTACTAAATCTATTTTTTATTGATTTTTTAAATTTAAAATTTTAAAACTTTGATCCTAATTATTTTAAATAATTAAATTTTGTAAAATATATATTTAAAAAATGATTTAATTGAACATTTTTAAAATATATTTTTTCATATTTTTATCGATACTAAATTTTAAATAATAATGAGTTGAAATTAAATGAATACCAATAAAATTTAATAAGAGACAAATTTGATTTGACAGAAGAAATATAGTTTTCTAAAAAGATATAGCCCGAAAGACCCACCTTGTGACTTCCACTAGCCCATATATTCCAAATAATATTATTAGTAATAATAATAGAATTAAAAGTTAGATTTCCAATCAAATGACATCCCCACACTTCAATTCAGAAATCAATTTCTTTTCTTCTTATTATTATCAAATTAAAGCCCTAATTGATAATGTTAGTAAACAAAAAAAAAATTATCTTTGACAACATTTATTTATTTTTCTCATTACTCTATGAAGTTTTTCCCTATAAAATCAGTAATTGTTTTTCAATTCTCAATATCCCTAATCCAATATAACTTGTTCATAGTGATTATTCTTAAATGATTACAAACAAATTACTGTTTTCCAATGGTCTCCTACCTGAATAACCCTAATCCACAGTTTTATCTTCGTTCCTACCTGAATGTTCCCCCAAATGTCGGTGTCCAGAAATCCACCGTAGACTCGTGTGTCACCGGAAACGTGCTCGAGACTGGAACGAGGCACAGTCCCCGGTTTCTTAGGTCCATGGACTTCTCACAGTTCTGCATTAGTAGAGGAAAAAATGCATAAAAATGACAAAGAGTAGAAACCCTAAAATAACAAAGGATTTCTATGAAGTATAATTATTACCTGGTGATGATATTGAGTGGCAGCTCCATTTTTCATGTATGGAGTACTTAAAACCTGAAAGAATATAGTGAAGAAATGGGGAAACTTTTGATATTTTATGTTTTGAATCTTTATATAGAAAAACACTAGTTGTTAATGAAGCTTACATTGACTTGATCATGGAGGGATTTTATGTACTCAATGGCTTCTGACAGCACCGAGGCCGTATCAGTCTACATATAATGGGAAGAAGAAAAAAACATTAATCATAAACTTTCACGAAATTCAAATCAAAATATGAATTCTGATCAACACCACACTATTTAAGTAAAAGAATTGATAAGAAAACTCACTTTTCCAAAAGGTGAAACCAATTGTTGGAGTGCAGAGATTCTATCTCCCATCTTCTCTTTTCTCCCCTATCATAATCAAAGCCATACAAATTCTCGTCTTTATTTACATGGTATCATAAAGGGATTAAATTCTAAACTTCGGCATAACTAAAGGACCAATATCAAAATTAGACCAAGAAGAAGAAGAAGAAAGTACCTTGAAAGCGGGCAAAGATGGGGTTTCACTTCGAGGCCTTTTACATGAGGCTTCGTTTCCACTTTTCTTCACGACAGTGCTTGAGTCTCGAGCCTCAGATGTATTCTAATGACATATGAAGATAAAGAATTTAATACACAAAATATTCCAAACCCTAATATGAAAAGTAAAAGATTCTTCAAAATAAAGTGTTCTTTTTTTAAATAGTACCTTTGGCTTTTCATCGAAATTTGTTGTTTGAATCTGGGTTTGCAGTGATGGGAGAAACCCAGGCGGCCTGACATTATGATCAGCCGCCGCTGCAGATGGATTCCAAAAAGGAGCATTATTTGAGAAATGTAATTGTCCATGTTTTGTAGGATAATTTCTCAAGAATTGAGGGACTTTAGACCAAGAATTAGGCGACAGTTGATGATGATCATTACTGTTCATCCCATATTGATAATCATTGACCGAACGACTCTCGTGGACTTTATTGTTTTCAGACTCCAAAATGAATCCTTGCAGAATAGATGAAGAACTCCCATATAAAGCTGTTGAATCCATATTGATAACAGATGAAGTTTCCAGATTATGTTCTTCGAGCATGGATTTGAAACTATGCTCATTCTTCTCCCCACGGCTATGAAAACACACATCAAAAGCTTTAATCAACACCTTCAAAAGATAAAACATATACATACATATATATATATATATATATAGCAGTACTTACATAAAAGCTTGATTCCAGTCCATGGGTTGAGAGGAAAGGCCAAGCTCCATCATGTGCATCATGTGTAAATTAGCAGCTCCGGCTTCAAGTTTTGGGTTATCTTGGAAAACAACTGACGATGGTGGTGAGATAGAATCCATGGAAGATGATAGTTTGATATCAGCCTGTAACACCCCAAACCGATGCGGTTAGCCCGATCCGATTCGGGAAGTCACATTAGGGTCACCGGAGCGACCCACCGTAAAAATAGCGGAAATTTTAAAACTTTTTATCAGAACATGTAAACTTATAAAATCATTTATCACTATTTAAAAATAAAACAGATTTCCAAACTCGTATATAAATCAAAATACAATTACATGCCCCCTAATCACAAGTACCATACTCTGCAACCACGCCGGAAGAACTCCCTTACTGAAGTCGATAGATGCACTGGTATAATTGTTTTAACCTGAAAATGTGAGTAATAGAGTGAGCTTTGGAAAGCTCAGTAATACAGAACTACCAGATGATGCTACATGACATGTAGATAAATGGAAAGCCATATAATTTCCTTATTGAATCATATGTATACCAGCTTGCAGAATAATTTGGGGTTCCCTTAGAAGTTCATAGAGTAGAAGCCATGAATCTCAGTTCATAAGAAACCTTTCAAAGTATGATATTTTCAGGAGATCGAATAGGATGTCTAGTGTGTTCCAACAGTATAATAAAATCATAATAGGTACAAATCTTAGTCCAGTAAATCTCACAATTTTGTAAAAGAGTTTAACTTTTGAAAATCATAGTTTAAACCTTTTTCTGGTACACCATCAGTAGTTGCCAAAATTATTTTCCATATAGCTTACTTTATGCACATAGCAAAAAGAAAGCCGACTTAAGGATAGGCTCTGAAGCTTGTATCCTTAAGCCCAAGTCAATGAGTCCATATAGCTTACCCTAAGCACACAGCAAAGGAAAGCCGACCTAATGAAACATCTTGGGGCCCTCAAGAGTCACATTAGGCCCAGTTAGCTTGATCAGAGCTATTCCATCGTAATTCAATTCCAAAATTCAATTGCACCGTGACACAAATTCCATAAATCCAAAAACATGGTAATCATATACCAGTTCAAAACAAAAATTAGATAGCAGCCATATTCCATAAATTGTCACATTAAATTGGTGCATCAATAAAATAATAACCAATGAATTCGGTGTACCACATATTAAAACCAATAAAACAGTTCAGTAATAAGTAGGGAACACACTAGAGAATCCCAGTATTTCCAGTAGTTATCATTTTGGATAACATGAAACTTATGAAATTTGATCGAATTCCTGGAACAAGGTTCTATTGAGGAGAATCGATTACTAACCGATCTAGCCAGACATTTAATGTTGATACATTAGAATCTCACTATATTTTCGTGTGCTTTAGGAAAACGTTCAGGAACCTTTATACATAATAATTCTAAATTCAGATTTACTGCGAGTGATTCCATTACCCAAACAATCAGGGGTATTCATGAATATACTTTAAATTCATAGGATTTCAGCCCAATTGAACCAAATGGGATATTCAGAATCTTTTCCATCTGCGTTACTTGTTTTTTTTTTTTTTCAAACATGACCGAAGTGATTTTAGATGAAATATAGAATCGAAGATTCAAGTCATTTACAATCTACGACTATCGATCATATTATCAAACAACTCGAGTTACACAACTCTCAAACTGATGCATGTCAACAAGTCAATTCATTATCCTTCCAGTGTATTCACTCTTTAATACCATAGTGCAGATCCATAGATCATCCCCATAATCATCACTGAATAAATCTTCCAACGGTCTTTATTTCATTTCCACGTTTCAACAATATCAGGAAATACTGACGTACTTGATCCATGGCTCATAACCCATAATGACAATTCATCATGTAAGTTCAACAGTGTTTCCAAACTCATCAAATCACCTATTTAATCCTTAGTCATTGATGTTACTTAGTTCGTTTGGTAAGCAAGTCTATCCCGATTACTTTAAAGTTTTCCAGAATAATTCAGACATTTCTGAATTTCAAATACACGTTGTACTTCATTTCATTTCAACTTATTAATATAATAAAGTCATTCTGGTATTCGTGGTTGATTTGACTAACGACTACCCACTTATTAGTACTGTATGCGCTCTAGAGTTGAGCTGCGCCAAGTACTTCCAGAATTATCATCGATCCAAATTTGAGAAGATGAACAAACATTCAAGTGATACTTATATCATTCAGGTAATGATATAGTACTAACGTTGGTTAATCACTTAAGTTGCGTTCCACAACTTTTACTGGTAGCACAACATCCATGTTTATTTGGATTTCTTAATTAATCCAAGACATTTACTTATTCTAGGTCATAAGGGCATTTTGGTCATTTTGGTGCTTAACATTTTTTTTCTATTCATTTCACAGCTTGAGTATATCCATTCATTCCTGAGCTTGGTGACATTCTTGAGTCATTTCCATTCCAGGGGTAATTTGGTCATTTTATAATTCTAGAATATTTCAATCATTTCCTTCCATCCGGTCTTATTATTTAATTCAATCTTATCATTTACTTCAGTCCTTTCGAACAATTCTGTCAGCAGAATACCTCCGATAAATTACTCTTCAAGTATTTACTCCTTATTCGAATATTTTCGAGTCAAGTGTCTTCTCAGATTTTACAAACGGAATATTATAAATTTTTCTGTACAAAGACAGGATCTTAACAATTAAATTCGTACTTAATCGAGTTAAGTACAAATCCTCAAAGTACTTTCTCATTCAGGGTCAAATCAGACTATTTTATCTCTCAAGGGCATTTTCGTAATTTCTTAACCGGATAATTTCAATATGTCTTTTCAGAGTTATTAACCAACTTCCAGGGCAATTCTTATCATTTTCCAACATAAGGGTAATTTCGTAATTTTACCATATCGGAGTATTCTCATAATTTTTCATCCAAGTATCTTTAACATTTAACCTTTGATGATATAAAATATAAGTTACAAATCCAGAGCTGATTTCTTTATCACCAATCACAAACTTGTAATTTAATTCTAACAATTATCAATCTCTTATCTTAGTCATTCGATCCGTATTCCGTTACAGAATTTCTACCACATTCATATCGAGTGAATAAATTATTCAACTCCACAAAAGTGACCAACATTATCTTATTCATGCATTTACCAATATCAACATGTTCCATAAAGCATAAAGAGGTAGTAAAGTATTACCTCGATTTCCGTGCAATACTGATCGACCATAAAAATTCCATTCGAACGCCTTTGATCTTCAATTCAACTTCCAATAATTCCTCAGATACATATCAACATAAATTATATCAGAAACAGAGCTTAATTACGATAAACGGATCGAATCGGGTGATAAATCAGTGAAAGACGGCTTACCGGGTTCGAATTTGGCGAAACAGACTTCGGATTTGGATTCAGGACGTCGAAAGCATAAAATATGACTTTTCGGAAATTTGGAATTTTCGGTCAAAATCAAAGTCAACGGGTTTGACTGACAATTTCGAGGCCTTCGGGTTCGAATTTCGAAAACGGACAGCGGAATCGGATTTGGAACGTCGAAAAATGTCAGGATAGGTATACTCGGTCAAAGTCAAAGGTCGTTTAATGCCCGGTCAAAGCCAGTCAAAGTTTTGGTCAACAGTAGTCAACGGTCAACGGGTCAACGGGTCAACGGGTCGGGTCAACGAGTCGAGTCGGGTCAACGGGTCGGGTCAACGGGTCGGGTCGGGTAAACGGGTTGGGTCGGGTTGTGACCGGTCAAACCGGTCAAAACAGTTCCAAAACCGGTCAAACCGGTCACTTTTCCCTTCCCCACGCGCAGTGGCGGCGCGTGGGGGCGCGTGAACAGTGATAAAATCCCGGAAAAATTTCTAAAAATTATTTTGAGCGATTTCGAGATACTTACAAAGCTCGGTTCACAATTTTGAACGGCGGAGAGCTCGATTTCAACAAATCGGGAAGTTTGACCGGTTCACCTCCCAACGCGCCGCCGCCGCCGGAGAAAAAGGAGAACACCGGTGGACTCGGAACGGCACAAGGAACACGATGGTGCGGGAGGTGTCGTAAACGGATGACCCGATCGTCGTGAATCGATGAAAAACCAACTATAACCGAGTTATTACCGACGATACTTTCGACTGAAATTCACGACGAACGGCGATGATTCACGACGAAAGGTTTGAGGGGTTTTGTTCCTCGGTTCACAACGAACACGATGGTTGTTTCGGCTCGTCGTTTGGAGGTCGGACGGCGAGTAGATCGGAGTTGGAAGTTGGGTTGCTGGAGAAGGGAAATCTGGAAAATTTCTGCTGCCTGCGCACGAGAATCAGATTTATAATTCAACATATTAAAAAAATGGTTAAATCATGGGTTTAGCCACTGAACTTTCTGCACTTCTGAAAATGGTTTGCCAACTTTAGAACTTTACAATTTAATCCCCTGTTTCTTTCAAATACCAAATTAAATCCACCAATTTATATTTTCTTAAATTTAGCCCCTAAATTGGGGTGTTACAATTCTCCCCTCCTTAAAAAAATTTCGTCCTCGAAATTCATTCATGTCACATTATTGCAAAAATAAAACTTTCATCAGTTTTTTTTTTTCATATCTAGAAACACAGATCCTTCACTAATCCTTAACCAGTTGAGTATACATTCTTATCAGAACTTTTCCTCATTTCAATAAAAGAATCTGAATGAAAATTTTCTCGGGTAATCAATCTCTTCAGAATTCTCCCTCAGTCCAAGTAAATAATCAAAACAACTTTATCCTTGTGAAATCAATTCAGCATTGGATACGTGAATAGGCTCGTAGAGTAGCAACATATCTCAATTTCATTTCCGGAGTCGAGTCAGAAATTCTCAGATGAATAACTCTCACATGGCTAAGGTACTTTACTGCGTTAAGACAGATGTTACTGGTATTCCTTTTTGTACAAGTATAGCCTTAGCAGATAGAAACTTTGGTTTACTCATTACAGATAGGGACTCAGCCCTGGAGTTCCGGCTCAGAGAGGTACGATTGCAGTCTAGGGGCATGTACTGATCAGACATATTTTGACATTTGACCGGCCGGTCTATCTTGAAAAATTTTGACTTAAACCATAGCTCTGATACCACTAAATGTAACACCCCAAACCGATGCGGTTAGCCCGATCCGATTCGGGAAGTCACATTAGGGTCACCGGAGCGACCCACCGTAAAAATAGCGGAAATTTTAAAACTTTTTATCAGAACATGTAAACTTATAAAATCATTTATCACTATTTAAAAATAAAACAGATTTCCAAACTCGTATATAAATCAAAATACAATTACATGCCCCCTAATCACAAGTACCATACTCTGCAACCACGCCGGAAGAACTCCC